AAAACAACTCAACCAAACAAATGAATTCAGATGAGAAATGTTCCTGGCATGTATAACAATATGAGATGTGAATTAAATGGGAGGGAAAAATCCTCCCCATTGCGGATGTGAGCCTAGATGATAATGGAGTTGTGATTTAGTCCATGAAAGTGTGTTAGCGTAAGTGAACTGACCTTTTGCTTCTCTTACTGCTGAGACAAAATGAGGACATAAATACAAATTAATTTCTTCTTATCACTTCATGAGACATTATAATTCATTTTTCATTTATGTGCATAATGCTTACCTAGCTTACAAAAAATATGCATTATTCCGAAAAGCTCAAGGGATTCATATACTTAAATGGAAACTCAGAGAAAGACTGATTTTATTTCGCTACAGAAGAGATTTCTAATCCTAATATAGTGATTTAAAAAAATTTTTTTAGTTTCCTGTCAATTCCATTTGATCCAATCTCTTATACTTGTCTAACAGTGTGGTTACATCCATTCAGGCAGTGATAGGAACTAGCATGTCTGAGTGATTATAAAAGCTAACTGATAATCCAACAATTGCTTAGTTCCATCCTTTGTAATTCAAATTAAGGTCAGCATTTCTAAGCAATAAACAGGTAAATCTATGAATTCAAGCACTGTGTTCATCTATTTATATTTGTGCATATGGCATTGCAAAACTCTACCTGTGGGCAGACATGTACAGCATACGAGCAACCAATTTCTAATTCGGTTATCTAATTTCACTGAGACCAGTAAAAAGAACCATGCCTACATTGTAACAGAAGAGACTTAGATTCAGTTCATTGAGATTGTTCTGAGAGTAAGATAGATTTAGCAGTAGAATGTGTTACTGCAGGATATGTATGCTCCCTTGTGTTGGAAATGTTTAAAAAAGAATATACTGGAATTCTAAAGGTCTATCTGTAAAGATTTAATAAGTACTTTTCTAGAGTGAATAAAATAGTTCACCTTGGTTGTTCATAGAAGGTTCGATATAAATACTATGATCAAGCAAAATGTAAATAACCACCGACACTTGTATAACTCAGTTCAAATTAAAACTGCTTTTCAGTACATGATCTTGTTTAATATTTGAAGCAGTTCTTTACGTGGTTGGTATGATTATTTTCTTTGAGAGACATTAAATTATTTAGCCATAAATTTCTTGAAAAAGCCACTTGATTTCACTGAGCAGGGAGAGATAAAGAATTGCTGGTATTATTACAAGAAGTTATGGATTTAAAATGTTTTTGTAATTTGAAAAGACATACACACATTGGTAATCCAAGCAATTGATTGACCTGAGACTTGAATCCAAGTGGTTTGGCTCTAGATATTTTTATCTTCCCCACATAAGATACAACATCACAAAGTGATAGCATATTCGTATTTGAGAAGTTGTCACAATACATTATTAAAACCCTGCTCCATTTAAACAACTTAAATTCATTTTACTCTAGTAATTGAAATGCATTCTCTAGAATTTTCCCACTGTAATATGTACATCTTTGCCTGTAACAACTTTAGTTTTGTGAGACATTTTGCAGTGCCATGGAATCAGCCTCTCTTAAATTTGTCTTATGTAGTTTGTTAGCTGTGCCATGACAAAATGCCAGAGATTGGGTGCCCTAAACAACAAAAATATATTTTCTCACAGTTCTGGAGTCTAGAAGTCCAAGATCAAAGTATTGACAGGTTTGGTTTCTTGAGGCCTCTCTCCTTGGCTTGCAGATGGCGGCGTTCTCATTGTCCGCACATGGTCTCTCCTCTGTGCTAACACATCCCTAGTGTCTTTTTGTGTATCCAGATTTCCTCTTCTTATAAGGACATTTGTCAGGTTGAATTAGAGCCCACCCTAACAGCCTCATTTTAACTTAAAAGCCCTATTTAAAGGCCCTGCCTACCAAGGTCCTGTCTTCTAATACAGTCACATGCTGGGGTAGAGGGCAATAGGGCTTTAACATATGAATTTTAGGCAGACACAATTCAGTCCATAACATCTTTATTCTGTTAATTTTGGGCACATAGTTTATGTTCAATAAATATTTGTTGCTTAAATAAATTCATGATTGGTGAATGAAGGAATTGGAGCTTATCATTAACTATTAGTTAAATTAAATATTGGCTGAATTATAAACCTGCTTCAATGAATTATGAGTTATCTATTATGATTATTTGAATACAAAGGTCACTTTTTCGTGTGTGTGTGTGTGTGTGTGTGTGTGTGTGTGTGTGTGGTATGCGGGCCTCTCACTCTTGGTGGCCTCTCCCATTGCGGAGCACAGGCTCTGGACGCGCAGGCTCAGCGGCCATGGCTCACGGGCCCAGCCGATCTGCGGCATGTGGGATCTTCCCAGACCGGGGCACGAACCCGCGTCCCCTGCATCAGCAGGCGGACTCTCAACCACTGCACCACCAGGGAAGCCCCAAAGGTCACTTTTAATACCAATCTTTTTTTCTTCCTTTTTTATTGAAGTATAGGTGATGTACAATACTATGTAAGTTACAGTTGTACAGTATAGTGATTCACAATTTTAAAGGTTATACTCTATTTATATTTATTATAAAGTACTGGCTATATTCCCTGTTTTGTACAATATATCCTCGTAGCTTATTTTATACCTAATAGTTTGTACCTCTTAGTCCCCTACCCCTGTAATGCCCCTCCCCTCTCCCCACTGGTAAACACTAGTTTGTTCTCTATGAGTCTGCATCTTTTTTGTTGTATCCACTAGTTTTATGTATTTTTTAGAGTACACATATAAGTGACATCATACAGTATTTGTCTTTCTCTGACTTATTGCATTTAGCATAATGCCCTCCATCCCATCCATGTTGTTGCAAATGGCAGAATTTCATTATCTATTCATCTGTTGATGGAAATAATATTCTTAAAATAGTTGTTTTAACTAGGTTGACTCTGTACTTAAAATAATATTTATTATTGTTTTTTATAACTCATTCATATAGTGAAAAAAACTGTAGTATATAGTGTATCACAATATATTTTGGAGTTTCTATAAATTTAATCTTAAGCAATCTAGTATAGAGGTCTTTATGTGGATTTGTTTTATATGATGTCCTACTAAAATTAATAAATTATAAGCATCCATCTATGAGATTAAAAACCTAAGATGCTACTTCAGTGGACACTACCTTTGTGTGTCTTGTAGCACTAGAGAGAAGATGTTATACCTATTTAGACACCTTAGTTGATTTTCTTTCATTTATGAAGGTGGTGCTACCTACAGTATGAGTTTATCTCTTACCCCCTTGACACCCATCTCCCCTGAGGTTGGAGCCCTGCAATAAACATCCCACAATTTAGCCTTTTATTTCTGAATCATAAAATCAGGCAGATGGTGTAGTTTATGGCTAAGGAGTGAGATTTTCTCTCTTTGAAGCTAGTTTTTTCACAACTAATCCATTAACAGGTATGTTACATGCCATTTTGTCTGATGTATCCTGACATGGTAACTAGGAAGTTCACTAAAAGAACTTCTAATATGTTTTAGGAAAAAAATCCCAAATGTTTGATTGTAATAATTAAATGGCTAACATTGAATTCATTGAGTTACGTTAGCACATTCCCTGTGGGTATCTTGCATCACTATTCCAGTGCTATGGCTTCTGCCGTAACTAACGTAATTCAAAAGGAATAGAGTAGAGAATGAAACTGTAAAAAATACAAAAATCAGTTACATTATGCTGAAAGCAATAACATTTTTATTGACATTTCTGAAGAAAAATTGAAAACTCATCTGTGAGCTGCATATGAGTCCATGATCATTTTAATATTGTAGTAAAATGTTTATTGCCTACTCCTTACCCACGTATGAGACTCCCTTTTTGAAAAGATGGTAGATTAAACACATTTTTTTAAAAAAATTAGGTAGGTCTCTGAATTAATTAGGAATAGATGGATTTTGCCATGATGCTTATTACACATGTATTATTTGAATCATATATCAAAATTTTCTAGGTGGATCAATCCAAACATGTAGCCTCAAGTAAGGTAGAAATTATGATCAGGCTTATCTTAGATACTTGAGTATATTTGTAAAAAATATGAGTTACAAACATTTTTTCTAGCTCTAATTCTATACAAAATAAGACGTCCATATTTTGAGATACTTCTAGGTCTAGAGATCCAATATCTATGGGGAAATAATTCTATTATTTATGAGAGAGTCAAAAAAGCTGAAATTTTTGGCTCTGAAGTACATCCTAATGGAGTTGAAATTAATGATATATTTCTTTTCTTAAAACACTCCCTTTACACAGAAATCATCACAACATATTTTTTCCATCTAAAAACCATTGGTGCTTGGTTTATATTACATATTAAAACAGTGTGTGCATATAGATATTAGTGACATGCTAAAGATAGGGTAATTGTTATTCAGGAAATATTACAGTTTTCTCACTAGAATAGAGAAATAGTGAATTTAAATACTTTGTAATAATAATCCAGTTAACTTGAAAAATTCACATGTGGATATGATGTTAAGTCACTGCTAATTTTCTTCTACAATCAGGACATTAAGCAATTCAAATTATACAAGATTGCTTCAAATGAGAGTCTTTTTTCGGCATCTTATCTCGTAGTCAGACTTTTATTCTTTGGGGTGTATTTTCAGACCTAAGAGAGATACACATTTTACATATTATCAATGAAAAATCCTCTTTTAATTCTACATTTATATTTTTGCTTGCATTTACTGTGGAGACGTTTCAAATAGAGGTGTAATATCTGCTTCAGACTTCTTATAAGTATCTTTGCTTTTCAATGTAAGGTGAAAGAAAGAGTGAACTAATCTAACGACAAATGAAAGGCACAATGCTTATCTAATTATAAGGAGAAGCTGGCAGGGTGTTCTTTACAACTCCTGGTATAAATAGGAGGCTCAAAGTTAGATACTTTTATAAATCATTCATGCCATTTTTAATAAAATTCAGTTAACAATTGTTTGCTGATGTTGTGGTGGGTTTTCTCTTCCCCAGGTACTGGGAGATCGGTGGGCAAACATCTGTAGGTGGACAGAAGATCGCTGGGTTCTTTTACAAGACATTCTTCTAAAATGGCAACGTTTTACTGAAGAACAGGTGACTCATGTGGGGCATGTTATATCAGTGAAAGACTTGGAGAGATATTAAATGGATAAATGAAAAAATATAATGATGTACTTTAATAATTATTTTTTTTCTCTTTTGGAATTATTTGATTTCTTTCAGTGCCTTTTTAGTGCATGGATTTCAGAAAAAGAAGATGCAGTGAACAAGATTCACACAACTGGCTTTAAGGAGCAAAGTGAAATGTTATCAAGTCTTCAAAAACTGGCTGTACGTATTTTTTAGCTTTCAATAGTCTTTTAAAAAAAACAACCCAATAGCTTATACTAACATCATTATTTGGTCTTTCTGTTCCTTCAAATCTTAAGTGAAATATTCATTGTTCTTGCTTAGATCAGTCTATTCAGTTATACCATATTGTTACTTTTCTTAATTAAAATAGGGAAAGGTATAATGTTGTAGTGAGCTGGGGCTGCTGTCCTCACATAGTGGAAAGAGAAACTCTAGTGTCTCTGCCTCTTCTTATAAGGCCATGAATCCCAGCATGGGAGCTTCACCATCATAACCTCATCTAAACCTAATTACCTCCCGAAGGAAGGCCCAATGTCCTAATACCATGGGGGGTAGGATTTCAACATACAAATTTTGTGGGGGCACAGTCATTTAGTCCATATCATTACACCCCTGGACTCCCCAAATTCATGTCTTTTTCACATGCAAAATACATTCATTCCGTACGAATAGCCCCCAAAGTCTTAACTGGTTCCAACATCATCTCTACAGGGTACAGTGTAAAGTCCAAAGTCTCATCATCATCTAAATCAGATATGAATAAGACTCCTGGTAAAATTCGTCCTGAGGCCGAGTTGTCTAACAGTGAACCTGTGAAATCAGACTAGTTATGTGCTTCCAAAATGCAGTGGTGTGACAGGTATAGGATAGGCATTCCCATTCTAAAAGGGAGAAATAGGAAAGAAGGAATGGGTGACGGGCCCCAAATAAGTCTAAAGCATAGTAAGAACAATTCCATTAGATCTTAAGGTATGAGAATAACCTGCTTTAGAATGATGCTCTGCACTGCAGGACCACTGGAGTGGCAACATCACCCCCAGGATTCCACAAGTGGCCTTGCCTCTTCAGCTTCACAGGGCACTTCCTGCCCCCATGGCTCTCTGCAGCAGCCCCACCTACAGGACTCCCTGTGGTGGCTGCTCCTGAGGCACTGGGTGGGGGCATCCCAAACTTGAGAGGTGGCCCCACCCTTTGAAGCCCAGGAGGAACTAGCCACACCTCCTGGGCCTGTGGTGGGGGTGGCAGCTCTGATGATCTCTGAATCACCTATAACATTGTTCCCTCTTCTTGAGAAATAGCACAAGTTCACAGCCTTCCTTCAATCCATCCAGTTTTCTTTGTTTCTATTAGTCCCAGCTGGCAGTTTCTGCTGGTATAATCCCATCTGTAGCCCGGGCTTTTGATGAGATGGCTGATTAGGTCTCTGGTTCACACCCATACTAATCTCCTTATCAAATGGTGAATCAACCACACCCTTACTATTCTCTTCTGAACTGTGCTTTCTCATTTTTTGTAATATGTATAGGCTGAGAATTTTCCAAATCCATGAGTTCTGGTTCCTTTTTGCTTAACAGTTCCTTCTTCAATCAGTTTCTCTCTTCTTGCATTTTACCATAAGCATTCAGGAGAAACCATGCTGTTCCTTCCACACTTGGCTTAGATATCTCCTAAAGACCTCAAATTTCTTAGGTAAATACCCAATTTCATCACTCACAAGTTCTACCTTCCGCAAAATACTAGAACATTAACACAGTTCAGTCAAGTTCTTTGCAACTTTATAACAAGGATCGTCTCCTTTGTCCAATATGTTCCTTATTTCCATCTGAGACTTCATCAGAATGGCCTTTACCATCCATATTTATACCAACATTCTGTTCATGATTATTTATGTATTCTCTAAAAAGATGGAAACTTTCTTTCCAGCTCTTCTCTTTTCTGAGTCCTCACCAGAATTACCCTTTAGAGTATCTTCATGGCAATCTTGGCTTTTTCTAACATGCACCTCAGAACTTTTCCAGCCTCTACTCATTAACCAGTCCAAAGCTGTTCTGCATTTTCAGGTATTTGTTACAAGAGTGCACCAGTTGTTGGTCCCAGTTCCTGTCTTAGGCTGCTTGGGCTGCTATAACAAAATGCCACAGACTGGTGGCTTAACCGTAGATATTTATTTCTTACAGTGCTGGAAGCTGGGAAGCACAAGATCAAGGTGCTGGAAGATTTGGTTCTTGGTGAGGGCCCTCTTCCTGGCTTCCAGACAGCACCTTCTTGCTGTATCCTCACATAGCGAGATAGAGGAAGCTCTGGTGTCACTTCCTCTTTTTATAAGGGCACTACATCCTAGCATGGGGGCCTTACTCTCATGACCTCATCTAAGCCTAATTATCTCCCAAAAGCTCCACCGCCTAATATCACATTGGGAGGTTAGGCATTCAAAATATGAATTTTGGAGAGATAGAAACATTAATTTCATAATATATAGGTAAAGTTTCAACTTTGTTTTTTGAAACAGAATTGTACTCTTGAAAAAGTATAGAATACCTGGAATAAGATTTCATTAAAAATTAAAAGGTAGCACTAAGAAGTACCTGTAAATGTTCCGTGAAGTTCTGAACAGTATAATTCTAAAGTAAACTTAAGTTTAATAAGTCTAATGAGTCTAAAGTAAACTTACGTAGATTCTCTGAGAAATATGAAGAGAAGCACAAGACATGATTATGCTCACATAGAAGGGGCTTATACCCTAGTTTGGAAAACAAGAAAAACATTAAAGCAAACCAAATGGCATTGATTATAGTGCCTGTGTTGTGTGTTTTGAGGAATTAATGAACTTTGGCAATAAGAAGACAGCAGGCTTCACTGAGACATTTCAGTTTGAGTTGAACCTTATGGGATTAATAAAGATCTCCAAAGCTTCTCTTCCACTGTGAATTTTGTTATTTTCCAGTAAGGGAGAGGAAAATCAAATATTAAGAGCTTGATATTTCAAATAAAATATTGCATAATTTCTTTTTGATTTTTCATCAATTCTAGTAAATGCTAACTTGATGTTAACTCTAATATAAAACAAAGGTCTACTGTAAATAATATTTCATAACACTACCTAAGTTAATCTATTTATGTCTGTATTGATATGATATATTATACATCATAATAATTAAATCACTTATTTAAAGCTAATCTTAAATAAATCTCCCCAGTTAAATTCATACCATTTTACCAAATATTTATTTGTATCATGTATTTTTTGCTCCAGAGTTACTAATTTTCTATAGGTTTTTTTTTTTTTTTTTGCTAAAAACAATGGATTTTGTTTTATTATTTTTTTATTATTATTTTAACACCTTTCTTGGAGTATAATTGCTTTACAATGGTGTGTTAGTTGCTGCTTTATAACAAAGTGAATCAGTTATACATATACATATGTCCCCATATCTCTTACCTCTTGCATCTCCGTCCCTCCCACCCTCCCTATTCCACCCCTCTAGGTGGTCACAAAGCACCGAGCTAATCTCCCTGTGCTATGAGGCTGCTTCCCACTAGCTGTCTATTTTACATTTGGTAGTGTATATATGTCCATCCCACTCTCTCACTTTGTCCCAGCTTACCCTTCCCCCTCCCCGTATCCTCAAGTCCATTCTCTAGTAGGTCTGCACCTCTATTCCCGTCTTGCCCCAAGGTTCTTCTGAGCACTTTTTTTCCTTTTTTTTTTTTTTTTTTTTTTTTTT